TTCCTTTCGTCCTGTCTCTCGGCCTTTGCTGAGTGAGGCACCTGCTCGGCCCCTGCCAACACTTGTGCCCAGCCTTTTGGGCAAAGGTGTGAGGCGATAGCTCACTGGGGTTGATTTGCGTTTCATCGGGGAAACGAATCCCAGTCATCTGCATCAATAGTGGTGACATGATGACGAGCACTTCCCCACGTGCTCAGCTGTATACTTCTGTGGGAGAAGCGTCTATCCTGACCTCCTGTCCAGTTTTTGACTGGTTTATTTATTTACTTTTTGCACTTGAGTTGTATAGGTTCTCTGTGCATCTTGGATGTTACCCCCTGTTCAGATGTAGGATGTGCAAATATTTTCTTCCTTTCAGTCTGCTTCTTCATACTGACGAGGATTTTTGACCACTCAGAAGCTTGTTAGTTTGATGTACCGCCGTTTCTTTACTCTTCTTTATTTTCCCTTGACTTCGAAGCTGAACATCCACGACAGCTCCCTGCCATGGCACGGCACGTGCCACTTCTGTTTTCTTCTGTGTTTTATGGCTTCAGATCTTAGGTCCTTGTATAAGATCTTAGATCCTTAATCTATTCTGAGTTAATGGGTTAGTGAATTTGTGTGCATGGCATCAGAAAGTGGTCTGACTGGGCCCTCCCTGGTGGCGCAGCGGGTTAAATCTCTGCACTGAGAAAGCGGTCTGACTTCCTCCTTGCTCATTTCCAGTTTCCCACCCTGTTACTGCTGAGGCCTCTCTCGGCCACTGCGCGCTTCGGCTCCTTCGCCATAACCGCGTTGTCCGTATAAGACAAATGTATTGCTGGGCTCTGAAGTCTGCGCCACTAAACTCTGTGTCTGTTTTATCCCAATACCTCGCTGTTTTGATTACCATCACTCTGTGCTATACTTTGAAGTCAAGGAGCCCGGAACCCCTTTTCTTCTTTATTCTCAAGATTGCTTTGGCTATTCAGGATCTTTTGTGGTTCCATGCTAGTTGTACAATTGTGTTCTAGCTCCTTGAAAAATTCCATTGGAATTTCGATGGGGGATCACATTGAACCTGTTTATGGCTTACGGTAAGAGTAATAACGTAGTTTTGAGCATCTGAACCATGTTCAATCTTCCAGTTCACACAGAGCATCTTACATTTCTCTCTGTAGTCTATTTCTTTTCACGGTGTTTTATAATCTTTAGTGTACAGGCATTTCACATTCCTAGGTGTTTAAATACCTTTTGCTTTTTTCTTCCAGTTTATTGTGTGTAGAAACACCATAGGCTTTTCCTTGAATTTTTTACACCACTTTGCTGCACAGACGGATGGTTTCTAATTGTTTTTTAGTGGAGTCTTTAGGGTTTTCTGGTACAGGATCATGTCATCCGCAAGCAGTTTGATAGTTTGACTTCAGGAAACAATTTTAAGTGTGTCTTCGGCAGTGCTAATAAACAAAAGTGATTTGTTTTGGCAGAGATCTCACAGGAGAGTCAACAAGTCAAAAGTTCCAAAATTGGGGAGTGCCTCCCCACTCACGTTTTATCTGAAGAAGTCTGGAAAGATTACTCCTTAGATGACATCGAGAGGACATTTTGCCAGCAGGTGAGCGTGTTTGTCATTTACTGTTATCAGAATTGTGGACAGAGCTAGTCAGTGAGCTGTGGGAAGCCAGTAGGTGTCTTGGCTTCTGTTCTGACCCTCCCTCCCTCCCCCCAGCCCTGAGGCCGCCCCCTCTCCTGGTGAGGAGGCTGCCCCAGGTGATGCGATGAGTCTCCTTCCTGCCATGCTCCTCTCTGCTGGCCTGAAAGAGCCACGTCACACCTCTGTTGAGTGACTTAAGGAAAACTTGGCTAAAGGAAGCAGTCTTTCCCGATTCTGGGACAGAAGATCAGCATTAATGCCTGTTCTGCCTTACATGGGGACTCCCTCCGGGAGCCTTCACACATCACCTCATCTTTCACCTAGGGACTCACAGGACGGCTTCCCATAGCGTATAGAAAATATGTTTTAAAGGTCTAGTAATGAAGACAGTGTCGCACAGGTACCGCCGTGGGCACTGAGACTGACTGAAATCCAGAGCTGGGCGCGGGCCACAGGTGGATTTCGCTGCAGCCTGGGGGGTCCGAGCAGGTGGTGGGCGGGCGTGGATCATCAGCGATTATTAAATTTTAATCGCTACTGGAAAAACCTGCAAGCCAGCCACTGGGGAGCCCGCGCTCCTGCAAACATAAGTTCTGTATGTATCCGCTATTAAATTATAAAAAAATACGTGGGGGAAGTTTTTCATCTTGAAACAGACGATGGCTTGAGCTTGAGACAAGCCTAAAGCCACCCGGAAGAGCTGCGTTCCAGTGGGAAGGCTCCGTGCGGGGACTTGACGTGGGCAGCCGGTAACACGCGCCGACGCCGACGCTGCCAGCACACGCCGAGCGTCCTGCCGGTCGTGACCGCGAAGCCCTCGGCAGTGCCGACGAGGGGAGAAGACCAAGTCGGACGCCGGCCTGAGCAGAAGGAGCAGCCGGCGGGCGGGCGTGGCCTCTGGGAGTGGCTCCATTATACTGGTGAAAACCGCCAGCAATTCCCAGCGGCACAAAGAAGAAAGTAACCAAGTAACCGTTCCGAATCCTCCGGCCGGGGTCATCAAGGCGACCTTTGGCGAAGGTGCAGGCCGGCTGCTGGTGTGGGAGAGAGCAGCGCCTGTGCAGGCTCAGTGGGGCCGGTGGGCAGCCTCGCCAGCCGGGGCC